CTCCTGTCACTTCATCTCTCTTCGGTCCAAATATTCTCCTCAACACCCTGTTCTCAAACACCCTCAGTCTATGTTCCTCCCTTAATGTCAGAGACCTAGTTTCACACCCATACAGAACCACAGGCAAAATTATAGTTTTGTATATTCTAATTTTTAAGTTTTTGGACAGCAGACAAGAAGACAAAAGGTTCTGGACTGAATGGTAGCAAGCATTACCCGAGTCCAATCTCCTCTTAATTTCCTCCTGAATCAGGTTTCGATCTGTTATCGTTGTTCCCAGATATCTGAACTGTGCCACATTTTCAAAACATCTGTTGCCTATCTTTATGTCATGATTGTGCCCTGCATTTTGGTGACGAGACAGTAACATATACTTAGTTTTCTCTGTGTTTACTTCTAGACCAACCTCTTTACTTGCGTCAATTAAAGTCTGTGTGTTTTTCTTTATGGTATCTACATTATCACCCAGTAGATTCACATCATCGGCGTAGACCAACAGCGTACATATATGACTATATAACAAAATTATTCAGGAAACAAGCAGAAGTCATATAAAATCATGATAATGAGAATGTTCGTAACATCGGACAAGGCTAAGCCCGACATAGAGAGTATAAGAGTGTTAAACTTGGCGGCGGTCAAGCAGACGACCGTTCAAACGAAAAGACTGCCGTTGTAGCGGATACTACTAGCTGTAGTGAGCCTGGATTGAAAGAGTCCTTGTATATATTGTACATAGGATTAGTCAATAACTGTAAACTTGTAAATAATTGTGCATACTGACAATGAGCTAAAACTACCAACTATGACTGACAAATGACAGACCCAACCTATCGTCAGCGAGGGCGCCCCACATAGACAGACAGACTGACTGCCCTTCAGTTTCAATGTGACCCTGACTCTGACTCTGACTTATGACGTCTGTATTCGTTAAACTGAGTTTTCTTTGTAGAATTTCCTGGCTTCAGTTCAAAAACGAAACATATGTAATTCCCATCACTGAGGGAGCAATTTTTCCTTGTTTAGAAGATGTGAAAGCCTCGACGTCTCAGTACCCTATGGGCCCCCGGGAATTTTCTTAACCCCCCCCTTTTTTTTTGTCCCTCTCTGCCAGACTAAAGTAGTCAAACAATATCAAACAGCGGGTAGAGTGGATCTGTAGGATCGATTTAACGTCAAACTGGGCAATATAAGGATTGAGGGAGGGTTGGAAGTATGGGTAAAGGCGGGTAGCCACCGTGTACTTAATCCCAGAGCGCTTTATTTTAAGGAAGAACTTTCATATGCCTTCAGTGGTTCTGACAATGCGTTCTGACAATGATTAAGTAAAAAGTAAAAGTAAAGCTATCCCTGTAACAGGCAGTGAAGGCCCATAGGGTTGAGAGACGTTGAGGATCCCACATTATCTAGACAATCGGCTCAAAGATGGCGGTAAGGTTGTCAGCCTTACGCGGTTCTGACAATGATACATGTCGCAATGAATTCACGAGCCAACACTACAATATACAATTTCCCTGGGCCTTTGTACTGCTCTTAAGAGTCTATAAATTCTGAAAAGTAATTTCCGCTTCGGGATCTAAATACTATTTTGGAATTTGCCTCGAAGGAAAACCGCCAACAACTTCACGATTTTCAGCCACGGAATTCGATCCAGGAACCTCCCGAATTTAAGTTGCTTCAACTGGACTTATGCAAGTAGTAAGCTGGCAAAGGAATAGGTGCATTGTACGCACAGGAACGCACTTTCTCAATTCCTACCCGTGACATGCTGAAGCCTCACCATGCTTGTTAAGCCGATTACAGTAAATGGATTGAATTTCCGACCTGTTCTGCTAACAAGATGAAAACTGACTGTATGGTTCACGGTTTTCCTTGAAACGTTTACTGACTAGGACATGCATGTTATTATCCCAAAAGTTCAATACATTCTTGGATTATAACCTTTCTTCATTTGTAAATCTTGCAGTCATAATGGTCAGGATAGTGGATTGGAAAATTAAACTATTATGAAACTGTTGCCGCGGAACAATTACGTTGCAGCTGTAATACGAAATGGAAGGGGAAGAGAGGTTAGGTTGGGTTAGGTTAGGTTGCTTATGTTAAAATCATAATAACAAGTAAATAATAAAATACATATATTCACAGTAAGACCGTATCCAGACTCCCTTAAAATATATAAAATATTATCCAACTACACATGTTTATTGGTTGATCAACCAGCTCCATTATACATGATCTTCGTTGTAACCGCTCTTTTGAACGGCCAGTTTCTTGTTCGAATCCTAGTTACGTCAAACTGTTTTACCCTGGACATCCAGTATTTGATTTAGGAGAACGCTGAACAATATTAAAAGCGAACCGAAGCGGACGATGTCGTTTCTGTTTAGCTAAGGCCATTTACTGCTCTAGTTCGGAATTATGGACGATTTTCTCACTTTTGAATTTATGACCTCTTATCTATTCCCACTAAATCAATGTACAGGGGCCGTGTAAACAGAGGAATGATGAAAAGTCGGAACTTAAATAATAAATCCTTGGTTCCACGCTATTCCATCTCCTTCTAAAAACTCCAGGTTATTTGTGACAGTGGAAATCAACAATCAGAATCGAACTTATATCTTTTGAAATTTTCAAATTCGAAACAAAAACGAATACACTCTCGCTACACAGCGTTGCTTCAGACTTTCCAGTCCAATAAGTAACTTCTCCTCCCAAGCAGTAACTAGTATTCCGGACTGATGACCACCGCGCACGGGATCTCTTCCGAATCCATTAGCTGCTGCTCTCACTTAAAGCATACAGTTCGAATTACAATTAGCCTGACGTTCTGCAGTAACTGCACAGACAAAATAATTAGTAAGTTTCCTTAACAAATATATTTCAATAGTGAGCTGTGCTTTCTATCAGATCCAGGCTCTATTTTTTGTGATTAATTAACCTTCTGCACGTCACCTTTCCCCTCTATTTCGTCGTTCACGTGACTCTCTGACACCGTTCATACGCCCTGGGAATTCATGCATACCGATCAGCTACATGCCGACGTCATGCTCTTTACAAAGATCTCAACGCGGAGCCCCGAGAAAGTGTAAAGAATAGCGAAAGAAACGGTTACATCACCGAAAAGAAGATTCTTAATCAACCGGTCAAAAAATTCCCTGCGCTTATGGACTCTGAATGTTCACTGGTGCGTTTAGGAAGCCTACTGCTTGACTCTAACCGAGACAGTTTAATGCAGCTCGGAACACTACAGGCTGTTTCTCTAGGATCCACCATCTACCTCTCAGTCTCCCATGTGGTCTCTTCTCAAGGTCTTCCGACCAAACGTTTTATTGTGCTTATCATTTATCTCATACATAACCGGTGCAACACATCCACTCAGATAAAATATTCTGTGTCTAGAACCTCTCAGAGGGTATATCAAGCCTTCGAAAGGAAAGCAACAGAAGAAATTTCCTGTGTGTTCGTGATTTTAGTCTTCGAGGCACGTTCTGAATAGAGTCTAATGACTTTCTAAACACGATTTAAAAACTTACGTCACTATTTGACGATTATGCACCATCAAAGATGTTTTAAAACTAGAATGTCATATGACGTACCTTAAGAAGGACACCCAATACAGCAAGGCCATCGGGGTAACCAGCAGCTTCCCCACAGCTCCTGTACTTACTGCTGTTCCAGTGCACCAAGTGGAGCTGCAACAGGAAGGACACGAGTCACTCACAGTGATGACGGCCTTGTTCTGGCTCCGTCGCTTCGTTGGAAGTGGGCACAAAGCCTACAATAAACATGATTAGATATTATTCTGCATATCGCCCATTGTCTTGGGGTTTCTTTAAAAACAATGTTTCGTAAACTGGATCTGTTTCCATCATCAGTTGGAAGTAAGGAAAGGTTCCTATTCGGTTTATACAGTTAGAAGAAAGAAAGATCAATCCACTGATTGAGGCTGGTTCCTTCTAACGAGCCTAACGGAGTAGGAATCTTTCCTCCCTTACATCTAGTTACGGGAACCGATCTAGTTCCCTAACAGTCTCTTTATAGAAAAAAGGTAAAGTTATCTCTGTGTCTGGTAGCCTCTGTGGTCTAGTGGTCAGAGTTCCTGGTTACAGATCCACAGGTTCCGGGTTCGATTCCCGGCGCTACCAGATTTTCTAAGAAGTAGTGGGTCTGAAACGGGGTCCACTCAGCCTCATGAGGATAACTGAGGAGCTACTTCAAGGAAATAGCGGCTCCGGTCTAGAAAACCGAGATTAATGGCCTTGGGGATCCGTTGCGCTGACCACGTGACACGCTCTATCCGCAAAAATTTGCACTAACTTCGCAGACTACAGGCCACGGAGTTTGTTTTTATCTGTGTTTAATTAAATAAGCACCATGCCATGAAGACGTTTGGGGGAGTGGAGGTACAGCACTGGATGGAAGTAAGTTGTCAGCGCTTTACCCCCGAATAAAGAGCCCCTGGTACCCATTGTACAGGGGGTGGGTGCGCCCCGAAGCCGGCCTGGACGTTATGGAGAAAAGATGAATCTTATCCCTGCCGGAAATCGGACCTCGGACAATATGTTTACAAAATTATGAAAATTATTTAATTTAGCATTCGTAAAGCTGTGGTCTCTATTTGTGAGGATACCGTGTGGTAATAAGGGTGATCGAGTCTTTCACAAGGTGCTTATAGAAGACTCCATAATCACGTTTGTTGTTATACACCATCGTCGCAAAATGCTAAGCTAAATAATTTGCTTACAAAAATTATGAAAACTTAATATCTCTCTTTCTTTGTGTGCAGTGAACTTTCCCTACATATCTTATTTACATACATACATGTATGTACCACCTGAACTCGCCATGCCTCTAATTGCCGATTTAAAATTAACGGTAAATTAATTTTCGTGTGGTACATTAATTTCAAAGAAAGTAACCTTGTTCTGAAACCAGGAGTTAGTACAGTACAGTATATGAGATATTAATAACAACTCTAGCCGCTACATACCCTCTGAAACTGATAAGTTGTGGCTGAATAATTCATCTACAAGTGAAAAGAACTTTAATGTAATCGCCTGCAGGAAGTAGATATAGCAGCCCGCCTCACTGATGTGGCTGAGAAGTTGCCGAAGCAACAGGGGTAGTCTTGTAGCGATACGTAACATTCTCATCACATGACCGCCCACTGTGCTACAGACATGTACCCCACAGCCGGTCCCTGGGACGGGTTTCTCTTGTCTGTCATCGTTCACGCGGTTAGTCGCTGGATTCCCACCGCGGCGGCCCGCGGTCGGAAGCTGGGGGCAGGTTTTCTCCGAGTACTACGGTTTCCCCTGCCAAACTTCATTCCACCAATTTCTCCACAATCACCCTCACCTATCATCTGGGGCTGGTACAATAGGCCAGAAGTGGCCGCAGTACAAGGGACTTAGCCCCACTCCACTAGCAATAAAAAAATACAGTTCAGTTTCGCCGTAAGTGTACAGGGACTTGACCGCTTTCGACAATCATTTTGATGAAAAATAAAATATTACATTTCAACATTCTGTTGCACTGGTTAACGATTTAATTTTCAGGGGCAGTCATCAAGGTGCAAATTCTTGTTGTGCTCGTAGACTTCGTGGGTTATGTTGTCACTTTTTATAAAAATCACTTCAAAGGCATCTTTCGACATCATCACTGGGTATATATTTTGTATAATTGTTGTACTGTATTGCTTTATCTAGCTTGCTGTTCTAATGCTTGGTTAAACTAGTCCCAATTATTGTTGAGTAACAAAATTAGACAATATTTAGAACTATTTTAGACCGCCTCTGTGGTATAGTGGTCAGAGTTCCTGCCTACAAATCCAGAGGTTCCGGGTTCGATTCCCGGCACTACCAGATTTTCTGAGAAGTACCGGGTCTGGAACGAGGTCCACTCAGCCTCGTGATGATAACTGAGGAGCTATTTCAAGGAAATAGCGGCTGCGGTTTAGAGAACCGAGATTAACGGCCGTGGGGATTCGTTGCGATGACCACGTGACACCCTCTATCCGCAAAAGTTGGCATTAACTTCTCCGACAAGCGGCGGTCGCTCTGTTGGTATAGTTCACTTGCGGACTACAGGCTACGGAGATTGTTTATTAACCAAATTTTAGAAAAAACAAACTGCGAAAAGGGCTATAGTGTAGCAATTCCGTAAAAGTATTTAACCGATGAATGCCATGTAAGTTCGAAAAATGTCGTTGAAGTAAATTTTATAAAGACGTGACAACGTAGCGCGCCATCAGCCCACGATCATGACAAGAAGTTGCATCATTAAGACTGCCCCTCAAAATTAAATTAGGAGAACTTAAAATTGATGGCGTATGTCACTCCACTCCACTATGCCCCACTTCAGTCACTAGATTTGTTCGTGAGTTTAATTTTCGTCCAAACTGCGCATCTTACTTCGACAGATCTGCCGTCATACAAAGACAGAAAAGCACGGAAGGCAAACGTAAATTTGTCCCTAAGCCTAAATAAGCAACTACGCTATGAAAACATATGGCAGAGTGGAGGTACAGCTCCGTGAGTTTTTAAACTCGGTACTATATGGAAGCAGAGGTCAGGTTCGTTGCACGGCAACTCCACCCGCGTCAAAACAACGTGCAAGAGGCTGGGCGGACTCTAGAGCCAGGCTGGACGCTGTTGAGAAGAGAAAATCTCACAGCCTACTAAGAATCGAACTTCTGTTCCCAAGTAGTACACACCACACGTTAGTTTCTGTATCGACCGAGCTATCCAAGTTTCGCAAAATACAGGATGGTGTTCACTACACAACGCCCCTGTCTTTTCCACCAACGGCAGCCCGCGCAGTTCATCTGCTCCTGGCATTAAGAAAATTGGATTCATCAACTGGAGAAATCCCTTGCGTTTTAACCGGTTCTGAATGTTCTGTGACTGCAGGTGATGTCTTTCTAGGGACAAAGATGAACGTTTCGTGTAGGTGACTACTTCCGTGCAGGCAGACGCTCACCTCACCCGCGAAGGACTGCCCGTCAACTGTGTGCTCAGAACCCTTGTCGCTGCTGAAGCCCCAGTGGCAATGGAACTGCTGCAGCCTGTACGAATCCTCAAGAGGACCGCCGACAAGTTCTGAAACACGACAAAAACCATGAATATTAATTTCGAACACCAGAGTATGAAGCTGTCCGAGTTCTGAACACAAAGGAAAGAAACGAAGAAGATATATAAAGGAAGCAAACGAGACACAAACAAATAACAGAGAACGGAAAAGAAACAAAGTAAAAAGTGGAATAATATAATTAGCACTAATGGTGTGTCTTCTGTTCATAATATACTGCAGCGAGTTCTGTCGCACCAAGACAGTCGTGTTCAGTCAAGCTGATCTGAGATTCAGACAAAGTAAACGGTTTCACACGGTGTGTCCTATATAAGTGCATTGTGGATCTCAATCAGTTAGCAAATATTTCTGGAAATATGTAAATCTCTATACAGAATTCAGTAAGAGTTTTCCAAGATTTGAAATTGTGCGAGAAGGGCTGCATGTACGAAGGTGTGCTATCATCAACAAAATAATACGATCTATTATCATTGTTATTGTGGCATGCAGACGCGTTGCTAGGAGACGAACGCGAGAAAGGCGACCCTACAGCGGCCGTTCCTAGGCGGAGGCCCGCAGATCAACAGGGGAATTGTATTTGCTGCGAGATTAACTAAGCAACAATTGAACAGCAACAGAGGAACGGTGTTTTCTGTGCGGTCCGTGCCGAGATGTTACAATCAGGACGAGCTAGTGGACAGAGTTACCCATCACATAAGGACTACTACCGTAAGGGTTCAATTAAAAAAATGTCTGGTCGTGATTCTCAAGGGGCTTGGCGTCAAGACGAACTGATTGGTGATAAACCGCCAGTCGTAAAGTAACTCCGAAATTGACCCTGGCTCTGAGAGATTTAATGTAGTGGAATGAGTAGGTTGGTGAGTGAGTGAGTGAGACAGAGAACTGCTGCGGCTCAGCCCTTGTGAGCTGTTGCTGTTCGCACTTGGTAGCTGAGGCATGGGGACAGTTCGGGAACCCAGAAAAAGGGGATGGTCCGCCGTTAGAAGCCGTTATCAGACAACGACTGGTGGAGGCACAGCAGGCTGAGATCACTAAAGTACGCGCTGTAGTGAACAGTAGAATGTGTGAATTTGCGATAGCGCTATAGTTACTTGTAGTTAAGATCTGTAAGTGTTCAGTAATTCCAATTACCAATCCAAACCCCGTCTACAGTCACTAAAATCATGACAATATGTAATGACATTCGTCACCTCAGTATTACTAATGTAAGAATTAAATAGGGATAGTGCCTCTGTAGTCTAGAGTTCCTGGCTACAGATTCAGAGGTCCAGGATTCGATTTCCGGCGCTACCAGATTTTCTGAGAAGTAGTGGGTCTGGAACGGGGTCCTCTCAGCCTCGTGAGGATAATGAGGAGCTATTTCAAGGAAATAACGGCTCTGGTCTAGTAAAACGAAATTAACGGCCGTGGGGATCCGTTGCGCTGACCACGCGACACCGTCTATCCGCTAAAGTTGGCACTAACTTCACCGACAAGCGGCGGTCGCTCGATCGGTATAGTTCGCTTGCGGACTAAAATTACGGAGTCTGTTTGTTCTGTTACGAATATGACTCCCGAGTTAATACTTTCAGCTACCCGTTGACTTCAACGGAGCGTGCTCTGGTATGTGCGGAACGAAGGAAATTGCACGTCGATGAATTCCGCGTGTCCACGGTCCCCATTGCGCTCAGAGGCGATCTGCATGAAAGAAAGTAACATCTGGAAGTTCCTCGTGGAGCTACGGCGTTCAGGAAGAAGAAATTTGTGACTTGCGTTGTCAGAGCAGTTAGAACGGGGTCGTTATAAGTAGCCGGACATAACGGCTCGGCAGGACAGAGAGAAGCCTGCATACAGAGACCGAAAGCTGAGGCCCTCATGGCGATGTTTAGGAAGGTGTGATACCCTAGGCTCTCGTAGACGGTTACTGAAATCTCAGAGGCAGACGCTGCCTTGGGCAGATGATAAAGCAAGTGCGTTCCTTCGAAACGTCAGTAACCACCTACCATATTACACAGCGACACATCCCAAAAGGCAGTTGGAGGAGAGGGGCAACTTCCTTGAAAGCAACAATTTGCAAGGCGAAGACAAAGGTGAGAGGACAATACTGGCATACTTACTAACCGAACGGATTAGATTTATTATTGAGAAGCTTATAGTCGACCAGCTGGTCAAAAATTCTCCCTTTTTAACGCGAAATCAAAGATCACTGTGGGGTTCAACACAACCCGTCACTGATCATTCCTGTGAGTATCAAAACAGTCCACGGCTCATATAAAACGTGGGTATTCCAACTGATCCCTTCTCATCGGGGTTCCACACTAAAATTGCGCACGCTTTTCTCATTTCCCCGGTGTACTACTTGTTCCATCAATCCAACCTTCTTTGCTTGAGCATCCTAACAACACATGGAGCAGTGCACGAGCTACCGAAATATCCTCCAGCTTCCGCTCTGAAAGTCCAAAAGTCCTACTAAAATATTATGAATTTACAGTACGGTCTTCCACCAGGGCGACAGCTCCAGTTGCACCCCAGTTTACAACAATGAGTAATACTACAGATTTTTTAGGCCACGCTATAGCTCAAGCGGTTAGTCGCTGGCTTCCCACCGCGGCGGCCAGGGTTCGATCCTGGGTCTGGTCAAGTGGGATTTGTGGTGGACAAGTGGCGCTGGGGCAGGTTTTCTCCGAGTACTTCGGTTTCCCCTGCCAATCTCCATCCAACCAATTGCTCCACAATCACCCTCACCTATCATCTGGGGCTGGTACAATAGGCCAGAAGTAGCCGGAGTGCAAGGGACTTAGTCCTACCCCACTAGCAATAAAAAAATACTCGTACTATAGTTTTATACACTCCCCTCTACAGTCTCTTTATACAGGAGACGTTAAGGTAAACTATTCTGAACTGAGGACTTACATGTTTTGTGATATTACGCCGTGTAGTCTGTTGAAAGTCTACCGACGTTTCAGAGGAACTACTTCAGGTTAGACGAATAAGCCAAGCAAGAAACCAGCATGAAGCAGGCAGCGTGTAGAGCTCTGCTTGGGCATATATTTCGACCCTGAAGATGGAGGCGACATGTTCTTCCGAAATATCTGTTAACTTTCAACGGACTGCACGGCGTCACATCCCAGAGGATATAATTCTATATAACCACAGATGTGAGAACATCAAGTCATACGAATTTAATCTTCTAACAACTTTTGTATATAATTTTTAATTGTACTCGTTACTTCGGTTCCCAATGGTTTCAACTCATCAGCTGTCTATAACAGGGCACGGGACTGAGTAGGAACAGATTTTCGAGGGGTCCGGACGGGGTTCATTGACAAGCGGCATTGCACCTTGCAATCAAATGGCCAGAGTTTCACTGGCTCCAGTTAAATGTTTCAGGGTTCAAAAGACCCTGGTTAACGTACGAATGAATCCGCACTTAGCTCTACCCCACGTTGCCCAGACCGGCTCTGGGGCCCACCCAGCCTCCTATCCAATAATAATTTGGGGCTCATGCCCTGGGGGTAAAGCATCTGAGGCGTGAAGCTAACCGCTCACCTCCGTATAATGCCGAGGCCAAGAATACGTGGATCTATACATCCACCACCCCATACGCTTTCATAGCACAGGGATAACTTTACCTTTATCTTAAGATTTCTTGTAATGAGATAACCTAAAAGCCAGAAAATGCAGACATTAAGAATGTATATTTTAAAACAATTTAAAAAATATTGCGTTTCCTTGAAAAATGGACGTTTCTAAAATCTTAAGAAATGGTTACTTTACCTCGACTCCCAATCGAAATGGCCTCCTATACATTTGTTAAAGAAATGGAACATCTGATTGGAGGAATGTGATGAAGAATTACCGCCATATCAGTATAACGACTTGACCTCCGATCGTCCCCAAGCACTCGAAACATGGCTAGGTCCACTGCGAGCCACATATCTTAATAGGGACTTTGAAAAACCTTGATTGTAACGTTAGTTAGTTAGTTATTAGAGAGGGTGGTTTCCCCATGCACTTAGACCTGTAGTGGTCCATTGTGCTTCCCTCTATGATTTCTACCAGCCTCTATATCCTACCAGTATTGGCGCTTACCATCAGTTCCGCCCAGCCAGCGAGACCGGCTCTACTAGCTGAGAAGTATCTATAATGCTTCCCCCATCTACCGGAGGTATTAGTGACTGCTGTTGGGCGGGAAACGTCCGCAATTTTGGCCCAGTGACCTCCTTTGGAGGTATGAGGTTCTTTTACGTGCCGTAAAGCTACGATACGGGACCCACAGCTTAAAGTCCCTCCCGGAGGACTTGTTCCCTGAATTTTTCCGCCCTTAAAAATTCGACGACCTCCGCCGGGTATTTGAACCCGCGTACTACGAGTCATGAGGTTTGATTGTAACGTTAGAGACACAACTATCCTGACAGCTCAACCGCTTTATTTATCTCTATAATTGTTATATTTATTATACTGGATTTGTTGTGGAAGAACTATGTACAGTCCTTACAAAGGGATATCAAAAGAAAAACACTTTTAGTCACGAAATGCTTGGCAGATAAACGTCTGCTCTTTGTGCGAGAACTGACTACCCTAATAGACATATAGCAGACATTTGGGTGACTATAAAGCAGAGCGGGAAAGCAACAAGAGGAAGATGGCGACCAAATATTCGGGAAGGCCATTTTCCACGCGACAGCTGTTTCGACTCACAGTCTTTGCAGGGACAGGTTCAAAAACAAACGCAGACCTACTGCTTAGTATTTGAGCTTCTCAAAGCGGCCGTTATGAAGAGTTATATCTTTTGGGATAGAACGGCGTGCACGCCGTTGGAGTAACATGTCGCCTTCATCTTCATGGTCGAAGAATAAGCCAAGCGAGAAACCAGGGTAGAAGCAGGTGGAAAACAGGTTTCTTGTTTGGCTTATACTTCGATCATGAATTTGGAGGAGATATGTTCGTCGAAACGTCGGTTGACTTTCAACGGACTACACGTCGTTGTCCCAGAAGACAGAACCCTTCGTAGGCCTGTTGGTTTCTCTGA